ATTGAGTTTTTGGTCTCAGTTTATCGTGAATAAGTCAGGCCCAGAAAACACGGCACTTGTTCGTGTTTAATTTTTGGCTTCTTGTTTGATTTTCTGTTACCAGAAGCGAAGGATTGTTTAGCATTTTTAATATAGAGTCATGTGTTTTTGATGCTGCGCAGCTTCAGGGACMGAAGATCAGAACCATTCTGTGCTGATTGTTGCCATTCGCTGACCTCCAGATTTAAATTCTTTCCCATTTATATCAAGAGTTTTTTTTTTCTTCAAACTATTTTTTGCTGCTGTCTATTCTTTTCTCTCTGAGTTGTTTTGAACTCAGTGAATCTCTCACTCAGCTCATACTGGGTCCAGTTTGTGAGGTTTTATTAAGGATAATAAAAGGAAGCTTTCTCTTTTATCTGTTTGATCCTTTCCTGTTCTCTGATGGGTCAGTTATTTGTTGGACAGAAAGACAAAAGGTGAATTTAGTGCTTTTTGGACTGAAGTACAATCAAACATCCTTTAGCCTCTATCTGAAACACTCACAGCTGTGTCAGCAACTTTAAACAAACAAATTACGGTTAAGGAAGTTCTTTAATCTCCATCTTGTGTCGTTTAAATCCTTTTAAATGAAAGTTGAGCAGATGGATCACCAGACTTGTTACAGCTGACTGATTAATTCTCTGTGCCTCTCCTTTTTTAATCCTCTACAGAGTGATGACACAGACTTTATTCACACATAAACTCAGAGGAGGGGGAATTACTCTCACTCATGTGGGATTTTTCTGATCTAATTTCTCCTTTTGGCTCTGCTGTTTGTATATCTGACAGTATGTGTCAAGTTTTACTTGTAGATAAAGTAAACCACAATAACAACCTCCTATTGGCAAAAATATTAATTCTCACTTCTTAAACAACCATGTGGAAAGGCTCATTCCTTGGTCGTGGAAAAGATGCCAGTCTGTTTGAGAAGGGTCAAAACATTAGCTTGCATCAAGCAGAGGAAATATCTGAGGAGATTGCAGAAACTACTAGAATTGGTTCATGGTCCAATACATTATTAAAAACCGGAAGGGTAATGAGAATCATCGTCATCGAGGAAAAAATGTGGCCGGAAAAAAATCCTGAATGGTCATCTGTGATCACTTAACGTTTGGTGAACAGAACAACAGTAGGACTCCGGGTTGTGTTTAATAGTGAAAGTAAGAGCCTTTCCACACACACAATGTGAAGGGAGCTCAAGGGATTGGGACTGAACAGCTGTGTAGCCTTAAGGCTAACTGGYAAAAGGGCTTCAATTTACTTGGGAGCATAAAGACTGAACTCTGGAGCAATGTGGTCTGAGTCCAGACTGACCCTGAGTGATGGTGGCATCAGGGTAAGAAGAGAGGCAGGTGAAGTGATGCACCCATCACTGTACCTACCTGTGGGGCAGTGCTATGATGTGGGGCTTCTGCAGGTGGTCAGGTTCAGCAACAGTATGAGATCAAAGAGTGAGGTCAGCTGACCTGAATATACTGAATGACCAGGTCAGTCCATCAATGGATTGTTTCTTCCCTGATGGCACGGCCATATTCCAAGATGACAAAGCCAGGATTCATGGGGCTTTTATTGTGAAAGAGAGTTCAGGGAGCATGAGAGATCATTTTCACACATGGGTTGGCTCCAGAGAGTCCATTGAGAATCTTTGGGATGTGCTGGAGAAGGTCAGACTCTGCCATCATCAATGCAAGTAGATGATGAAAAGTTAATGCAACACTAGATGGAAATAAATCTGGTGACATTGCAGAAGCTTATTGAAACAATGCCACAGAGAATATGTGCCATAATCAAAGCTAAAGGTGGTTCAACAAAATATTAGAGATTTTTTTGGTGGCGACTTTATTTTGGGCCAGGCAGTGTAGAATAAAGTCATTTTCTGAAACATTTATTTACAAGAAAAACATTTGTTTTTTTTCCAGACTATTTTTATTCTCTAATTTAATTAAAAAATAAATATTGAAATACATAAAACACTGCTTTTTAAACTATAAACAGAAGATAAAGGACTTTAGCTTAGCCTGGCAGCAATAAACCAAACGTTTGAACAGTRGATCTGAAGACACGTCTATCTGTGCGGACATTATCTCTGATAAGCTCCTCCCATCATGCAAAGTATGGTCAACGGTCCAACAGAAACCATCGTACGTGTGAGTTCAGTGGGCAGCTCGCTGTCCTGGTCCATGCAGGGGGGAGGGGGGGACACGGTGCCTCAGACAAAGGCCTCCGATTGACACAGAAACAATGGAGCGGGCACACAGCAGCCTCCTGACTGAGGAGATAAACGACACAATCGCTCTTTTTCTGCTGCAGCTGGGAGGAAGAGTGACCATGTTGCTCTGTCACTGTTAGCATGTTACATATACAGAAAACATTCTTTCATCTTGTTAGCTGTACATATACATATAATGTGCAAGTATCTGTTTTCTAACTATTTGAAAGCATTTTGAAATGTGCTGTGATTTACAGAATTTGCGAACATCAGGATTTACATAAAATATAACACAAATACAGTAAAAATCACTTATTTTGACAGCTTTTATAGTTTAAATGGTTTTAAAATTCTGATAAATTTAACAAAACCTTGAAAAGTTCAATCCTAAAGCATTAAAAATGACTTTTTTTGAAATTTTGGTAAATTGTTAGAGATTAGCATCATGTTAGATCGGGGTCTGCAATCTGCGGCTCTGGGGCCACATGTGGCTCTTTGGTCCCTCTGCAG